GACTTATGCAGTAAATTAAAAATTTTAGGTTTCCTGAAGAACCTAACGCCAGGGAACAATGGATTGACGTGACAGGTAGAGGAAACTGGAGACAAAGACGAGTACTATTTGCTCTAAACATTTTACTGAAAATGATTTTACCATAAAAAAAATCAGAATACACTTAGTTTTGAAAAATTCATTCGCAATTAATAGCAAGCGCCAATTGCTAACAAAGACGTTTTATTCCAGCGACAGTGACTATTTGTAATTAATAAAAGTAAAATAGTTTTTTTTTTCAATATTTATTTCATGTTTCATTTTCTCCATTCATTCATCAGATAATTTATCGATAAAGAATATCGATTTTATCAAGCACTAGCGTGTATGAACATTTTTATTGCCTTTTTGCGTGTGTGAGTGTGTATGCTTACGGGTGTTTTGTGCTAGTTTGCGAACGAATATCTGTCCTGAGATTTATGTGTGGATGTTTTTGTTGTGTGCGAAATACTTGTAATCACAGTGTGTGTATGTGTAGAAATTAAAATAGTGGGGATGAAGCGGCGACACTGGTTCTAATACAAAATTAGAGCAAAGGCCTTTCCAACCTTATTTATCTATTCCGTGGGTACCACCACCTTGCCTATTTTTGCAACCTGTCTGTCTGTCACCCCAGGTGACAGTCAGGTCATCCAAACATCATCACTAAGACCCATCTTGCGATATGAAGGCGAAGTCTCTGTTTTAGTTGTAATAGAAAGAATTACTCTTAGCTCATCCAAACATCATCACTAACCCATCTTGCGATAGGAAGGCGAAGTCTCTGTTTTAGATGTAATAGAAAGAATTACTCTTGTTTCACACTATAAAATCGAATACCCAAAAAAAATATTGTTTTTAATAAGAATCGAGAATCGCTTATGTACTCTGTAATATGTATAGCACCGATTACATTTTGGAGTATATACGAGAAAAAATAAATTGCATTGTTTTATTGCAGACGATGTGCCCGATATGTTTGGACCGCCTCAAGAACATGATATTCCTGTGCGGCCACGGTATGTGCCAAATGTGCGGCGATCGCATTACCGTGTGTCCCATCTGTCGCAAACAAGTCGAGAAACGCATACTGCTCTACTGAATGATACCGATAAGTTTTACCACAGATTAGAAATATACATAAAAAAATCCTGATGGTTATCTTTGCGTGTTGGCAACATCGTTTGCGTTTCCATTAAATCAGTTGGCAAATGACGCAGGCGTTATGATGTCAGTTGCACTTGAAATATCAGCGGTATACTGGCAAGGAAAAAGGCTGTACGCGAAACGGATTTGTCCACCACATCTTGTTGAATTGTTTCAAAACTAGTATTTTTTAATTAACAATTTGGGAAGTAGAAAAGTAAAGAAACCATTTACTTTAATTTTTAAAATTAATAAAACTAATTTAAGTAATTTTATTTTGATTAAAAATAGAGCGCGTGATATTGAAAGTTGAAAATGTCAAGGAACAGACTGTCAACAGATTTTTTATAAATTTCCAAACTAACAGTCAAACCAATATGTAATAACCGATATTATTACCGGTGTCTCTGGCGTAAAGCGAAAGTGGTCGCTTTAAGCGTCAGATGGTAAAGTGACGTGTACGCGAAAAATAATTTCGAGCGAAAATATATTTTTTCTGGCGCCTTTTGTGAGATGCGGGGCTGCCCCAAACGAAAATAAAAAGTAAAATCAAGAGTACAAAAACCAGCTGTACAAAATTCAAAATACTTTTTGGAGGAAGAAATAAGTAATAAACTTTTTTATACGTTTATTCACATTGAATACGTCAACAGTGATAATTTTTACCCAAATTGTGTGTAAAGAACTATTAAAATAACAAAAAGAATATTTTTTTAAAGGGGGTACCTACAACTTTTCTCTTCCAAAAATGTTTTTTTTTTCAATTCGATTTGAATTCTATTCGTATTAACTTTCAACAATAATGGATAAAATAAAATTTAAGAAATGAAATAAGTTTCAGAAATTTCTGTTTTCTTTAAAAACATAAATATAATCTGAAATACAATTGATTGTGTTACGCCGTTGACAAGATAGGCAATCCCGCTCTACCTTGTCTCTCTCGCTCTACTGAGAGACCTTAGGCAGGCCCTAATTACTATACTATTCCCTAAATAAGAATCAATTAAATTTACTCGTTATTATGGGCAAATAAATGCATTTAACGTGATGGGGTTAGGTTTAAAAAGTATATATAGTTGTTTTATACAACTTAATTTTTTTTCTTGTTTACCGACTGCTATTAACCTCAAGAGGCTATACAAGCTTCGCCAAATTTGTAGGCGAGTTAGAGTAGTTTTCCCTAAATAGTGCTTCGCTGAATCTACCACTGGATCGGAATCGCGACCCACTGAGAAGATCCGGGGAGAAACTCAGTGGGCTGTATCTGTGGATTATGCACGACGAACCCTTCGTTGCATTCGAGCGAGTACAACTTATAAAAACTTAACTCTTGTGCAAATTAAATATGTCGTGGTTTTGTTTATTCGTATTTTATATATTATTATAGACGCTTCGTCTTTTACGCCAAGTTGTAAGTAAGTGTAACCTTCCCTGGAACATTTACAGCGTAGTACCGCCAACCTGCGATAGGCGGCGCGCGAATCGTTTTATGGCTATTTAACGTGGCTAAGCTTCACAAGTAATCTAATGAATTGTAGCCCTGTTTTAGGCGATATTTGTCGACGTTAGAAACATAAGATCTAAATAGAGTTTATGTATTTTTTGTCTTTTTTCTTAGTCTCGATTTCTAAACTAAAACATTACATACTACTTATTTAAAAGAGATATTATAATTTAAAATGTTCGATTTGAAAAGATTAATGTAATCATAGATATCCACCGTTAAGTTAACGATAATTCAATGTACGCGTAGGTGCCTAACAGGTACTCTCGAACTATTTTCAAAATGAAGGAGTGACAGTCTACAAAATTTATAAATTAACGAGAAATTAACGATTTCAAAACTTCTATTATTTTATCATATAATTAGAAACAGTATATACTATTTATAAGAGTAATTTGAGGTGGAATATTTTTTGTAATTTTGCATAATTATGATTATATAAAATTCAAATTTATCTTAAACCAAATTTTATGATAACGTAGGCAAAATAACAATGTAAACTGTATAGTATCTTAAAGATCACATTTCGAACAATAATTGTAAAACAAACTTTGTAAATAAATACTGTATGTACAGTTCGACCTCTGTACAACTTTTGTAATAAATTTACAAATATTATATTGTTTAATTAGTACTGTGGTTTAATTATTACTACAACGAGACTAAATTATTGTACAAAATATAGATTAAAACTACCATTTTGTATAAAAGGTGTAAAGGGCAAAATTTTACAGTAATATGCGGTTAAATAGTGTCGCCAGCAATATCAGCAAGCTTTGGCTGCAATATAAAAATATTTTTGTCCAGCAAAATTGCGAAACCAAAACAAGTCTGCAATATTTTCGTAGATATTTTGAATAGGTCCGGAGAAGCATTCTGCAGTAAAAAACACACCGATATTATCCGGCAAATTTATGTTTGTTCCATCACTCACCATCACCCATAGACTTCAGCTAAGTTAGTCAAGCCGCTCTCCAAAATGATACAGTATTAACACAGTAATATATGTGGACTTCTGCTAGAACCTCGAGCATACCTGCAAATCAAAGCAAACTACTAAAATAAATTTATTTTCTCAATGAAGTAGATATAACTAGCTTGTGTAATGTGAAAATTGGCATATTATAAGAGACAGGAATGTGAAATCATTAAAGTATGTACTTACAAGATCAAATCGACACTATCGATATTATTCCATCTCATTTAAGCCCAAACTGTTCCATAAAAGTAAGTTACCTAAATAATAAAGTACGTACCATAATAAGCAAGTAAAGGTTGTCAGCATGACCGGACAATGTACAAAAAAAAACAGCCAAAAATATTACCCGTTTAGAAACTCCATTACATCTACAGGAATGCATTTACGATAGTTTGTAAACAATTTTATGGATGTTACGCCGCTAACTGAATAAAATTTAGATCAATAAAAGCGTGTGCTTTCCGGAGGTTATTATTATTGTTATTAATGTGATGTGGATTTTTACTGGTGGTAGGACCTCTTGTGAGTCCGCGCGAGTAGGTACCACCACCCCGATTATTTCTGCCGTGAAGCAATAATGCGTTTCGGTTTGAAGGGGGGGGGGGGGGCAGCCGTTGTAACTATACTTGAGAACTTAGAGGTGGGTGGCGCATTTACGTCGTAGATGTCTATGGGCTCCAGTAACCACTTAACACCAGGTGAGATCGTCCACCCATCTAAACAATAAAAAAAAAAAAAATGTGGTAAAATCAAGTGACGACTTATGCTCGGCGCCGCGGAGTCGATGTGGTCGCGTCCATTGTAATGGCTGTTTGTAATTATGACGCGGCGCAATCCACACAAATCCCTAAAAATATATAATGTAGGAGCCGGGTGAGTTACCCAGTTAAATCGCATTTAAATAAATATTTTAAATCCTTACTACCTTATTTTATTGTTCTTTTAACTCGTGATTCGTGTTAGAATATGTTTTACAAAATATCTCACACAGGATAGAGATTCTCTTAATTATTATTTTTAATTTACAATTATACATTATTAAATTCATATCACTCATTCTATAGCATGTTATTTTTTTTATTATGATTAGAAAAAAATAATAATAAGCTTTATATTTAAAAATAATTATTGTTCGTTATTGTTGTTATTATCTCAATATTACTAGGCATCTAACACAGCGATGCCGTATTTAATCTAATATTAATATATAAATGTGTATGGAAATGAAATAAAACTAAGTAAAATGTTGTAATTCTTTTATTTGAAAAATTACCGTAATAAACTAATTTTAAATTCTAATTAAAACGAACTAAAAACTTCAATTCGCAATAAAATAGACAACAAAATAATTGGTCAATTTGAATAGTTCGTTAGAAGTGAATCTTCGATATTGTGTTCGACGTCGTGTTTTTGACGCGTGTCCGACAAAGAAACTGGCAACTCTGACATCGTCACTCTATCTCGAATAATGTCTTTGGTCAAATCGTTTATCCGAAACGATAACTGGAGATTGCTGGCCAGGTCGCTCTCTTGACAACGTTTACAATTCTTGTAATAGATCGCCGATAAACCATTCAAATCGGATGAGGTAGCGCAGTAGAGCGGTGTACTGGCAGCTTGAGCCTAAAAGTAACGAATTATTTTAGAAACATAAATGATTTATACAGATTGGTAGAGGCCTATTTCCATCAGTGGACGCCTATAGGCTGATGATAATGATTATATGATTCAGAGAGACCGCCTACGTACGCCATCCTCTAGGATCATTTTTTGCAACATTTTGGCACAAGTAGTACAAACTGCCAGAATCTTGGCCGTTCAATTATCTCCTTGTTGTCTACTGTTAAAAAAATATAGAAAAGATTTTCGGAACGACACTTTGTTACTATCAAGTTAACCCCATTGCTTGTACATTTAAAACGTGCACAGAAGGCGACATTGAGATCACAAGGTCACTACCACCATACATAGGTTCAAACTCGATACACAAGTTTGCGATTAGAAATCGGTGGAACTGATCTACTAGAAGACAAATGGAAAACTTAAGAGTAAATAAAATAAGTAGCCACTATGACTTAAATAACCGAGGCAACTGACCTAGTAAACGAGTTGGAAGTGCCTTTTGCATCGTTTATGTCCATGAGCGAGAGTGACTACCTACTTTCCGTCAGGAGGGCTGTATTATCGCTTGTCTACGACGACAAAATTAATAAAAAGACAATATTAATAAATACGAAAATGACTACAGAAAAAAACGTTCTCCTTTATCTGCTACGATATAAAGACATCGAAAAGACGTTACGTCCGGTCCTATGCTTAGGCAGTATGAACAGTGTTAGTGCAGTGTACCGGATATCGAAACAGGAAGAACATAAAGCAACGTACAAAAACAATGTCCTTTTACAAGCAAGCACAATTCTTTTTTTTGTCACAACTTTGAAGGGTCGTGCCCTAACGGATAAGACGTCCGGTGCATTCGTGTTGACCGATGAACCGGTGTTAGAATCTCTGGCGAGTACCAATTTTTCTAATGAAATACGTACTCAAGAAATGTTTACGATTGACTTCCACGGTGAAGGAATAACATCGTGTAATAAAAATGAAATCCGCAAAATTATAATTTGCGTAATTACTGGTGGTAGGACCTCTTGTGAGTCCGCGCGGGTGGGTACCATCACCCTGCCTATTTCAGCCGTGAAGCAGTAATGCGTTTTGGTTTGAAGGATGGGGCAGCCGTCGAAACTATACTTTGAGACCTTAGAACTTATATCTCAAGGTGGGTGGCGCATTTACGTCGTAGATGTCTATGGGCTCCAGTAACCACTTACCACCAGGTGGGCTGTGAGCTCGTCCACCCACCAAAGCAATAAAAATAAAAAAATTAAAATCTTGCGGCACGGTATCTAAGTTTAAGTATATTTCTATGTTTTGCATTGAAGTGAATAGGAAACTCCTACGATCTAGTAATTAATACATTGTGCACCAAGTAGGGAGAAAACTCGCCTTCGGCTCGGGTGGCAATTTTACACGCAGAAGGAAATGTCCTACTTTTTTCCCGCGGTGCACATACAATTTTTACTCCTACAAGGCCGAAAATTCGTGGAGTACCGAGCCGGAGTCCAGGGGCGAGGCCCCCTCATACTCATAAAAAAACAATTTAACTTTATTTTTATTTTTAAATAAACTACTAGTAATTGAATAAGAACTGTCTGATGAACACATATTTGTTTAATACTTCACTTTTAAATTTGATAGCCTTTTGTTTATTTCACTTTTACACTAAACACAATATTGTTAATTACCCGAGCACAACAATGGCGGAGAATTTTAGGTGCGTGAGAGCAGACGTAGAAACTAACCCGCATGCGAACTTGTACCCAGGGAGGAAAAGTGACACTTTCTTCCTTGTACAGCGGGAAGAAAAGTTAGAGTTTCTTCCCTGTACAGCGGGAGGAAAACCGAACTTTCGGCGTAGGTAGGAGAAAAAATAGTAATATTAATAGCTGGAAATAAATCACTCACGGTTATCTGACACCAATTTAGGATTCCGTATTACGGCTACCAGATACTTACTCATATACTTATATACGTTTAAATATAATACATATATAGATAATAAACACCCAGACAAAGAGCAAACAAACCTGTTCATCACAGTAAAGTTTGCTCCCTGTGGGAATCGAACCCACGACCCTCGGCACAACAGTTAAGGCCGCTAACTACGGCACCACCGAGTCAGTCACCGATAAATGCTCACCGAAACGCACATGCAGGACAGGGCGAATGTCGCAATCTTCCTTTGGAGGTCAACGGCTATCCGCTGTTCCCACAGCGATATAAATAAGCTTAGAAATGGCATCAACCCGAGCACATTCAACTCGAGTTGCCGTACACGCACACATACCTACGCAGTCATGCGTACACAGGTGAAAGAGCTCACGGCCTTAAGCTGGTATGTTACTGTCTATAGACATCAAAATGCCACTACTTACCTCCTGGCATGAGACTGAAGTCTCAATTGTATCATCTAAAGGCTGTCCTACGTGTTTCGTGTGCTTAGTGCGAGTTTTTTTACGTTCTCGATAGCGTAAAAGTTAACTCAAATTTGTATGGAGTTGGAACGTTTACCTGCGTTTGGCGCTAGGGGCGCTGTTCCAATTCCGAACACATTTGAGTTAACTTATAAGCTATCGACAAAGTTATAAAACTCGCACTAAGCACACCATACAGAGTTTGAACACGGATATGGTGTCATCACTCGCCAAGAGCACACCGAACTCCTTATCCTTTGAGTCATAATAATTATATGCGAATAATTAGTTAATCAGACAAATCACTACTCACTATAGTTTTGGTAAACGGTTTCATCCCGGTGTAGATGGCTTCGTAAAGCCACCAATTACGACACAATCTTGTTTTCACAAATGAACCCGGATGCGCGCTGATCACAGTTTTTTTAGTGTTTAGCCAACGATATCCTAGATTATGCATGGCTAATATTCCACACAATTTTGAAATATTATATGCTTTGATAGAGCTATATTTATTTTCGGGAAGCGAAAGTGTTTCCTCAGTTGGCGTTAATATTTCATTAAACGGCCACGTTACGTATCTGCAAAATATGTTGTTTTAAAACAGATTTCGTGAGATTTCTTCAGGTTAACAAAACTAAAGATTACAGTAGTCATATACACACACCTGTGAGATTCTGACGATATTATTACGACTCTTGCATTATCGGCAAGAATATCTTCGATATTCATGAGCAGATAATATTGGCTCAGATAGTTGACTTGAAACGTTATTTCCAATTTATCCACAGTCTGTGTCCAAGGTAAGCCGAAAATTCCAGCATTCAGGATAACAATATCAATTTTTCTGAAATTTATGAGAATTGCGAAGTCATCGTGGCCTAAAGGATAAGACGTCCGGTGCATTCGTATCAAGCGACTGTACCGATGTTCGAATACAGCTGGCAAGTACAAATTTGTCTACTGAAATACGTACTTAACAAATGTTCACGATTGATTTCCACGGTGAAGAAATAACATCGTTTAATAAAAATCAAACCCGCAAAATTATACATAATTTGCGTAATTACTGGTGGTAGAAGTCCGCAAGGGTTGGTACCACTAGCCTGCCTCTTTTTGCCACGAAGTAGTAATACGTTTCAGTTTGAGGGATGGGGCAGCCGTTGTATTGTAAAAACGGAGACCTTAGAACTCATTTTTCAAGGTGAGTGGCAGCATGCACGTTGTAGATGTCCATGGGCTTCGGTAACCGCTTAACACCAGATGGGCCATGAGTTCGTCTACCCATCGAAGCATTAGAACAAACAAACAAAACTATTCTCACTATCGGATTGTACAGTACATTAAATATTAGAATAATATCGTTAAAAAAAGAATACCTACATCATTAAATAACAATCACATTTCTAATGGTACCAATACTTTGCTGGGTCTCCTCATTATATTTAAAAGTACATTTGAATATATCGAATATAAATTGAAAACTAACTTTTCTTTATTTAAAAGATCATCAGAGCATTTTCGCACAGATCTAAGTGAAGCAAGATTTAATTCGTAAAGTCGTAGACTATCAGGTTTGAGGCATGTATTTTTAGCGACGACGCTTGCAGCATACGTGTTCCGGCACGCCATGAGGACAGTGCATCCGCATAAATTTAAACATTTCGTCATTTCTAAACCGACGCCGCTGTTCGCTCCAGTTATCAAACATGTTTTATCTTTTAAATCTAGACCTTTTGTCACCTACAATGTTAATAAATAATAAGCATAATGACTCATTATCAAAATCGGCATGTTTTGCATCGGCAAAACAGCACGGAAATTGTTAAAATTGTTAGACATCCTGCCATTCGTAAGAGTGAGGCTTAAAGAGAATTTTCAGGGCTAAATAACAGTTTGGATGTGCTCCTGACATTACTTAGGTTCCTGAACGACTAACAGTCGCCGTCTCACCGTGTGGTTAAGTTCGGTATCAATTATATGCCGTGAACTCGTTTACACATCTAGTGGCATCAAAATAAAAATATCTAATTTCGGACATGAATAAAAATGTGTGAGTGAACATCTCGCTATTTCTCGCGCACTCCAAATTTGAATGGAATAAATGTCATAGACTGCAGTACTATCTGTCTTCTTATTTGACTACTAGCCGCTCTACCGGATTTAAAGAGTTTTGCACCTAACTCGTATTATTATCAATTTAAAATACGTTTAGATCAAAATAAGGAAAAAAGAAAACAGAATATTTATTTTCGTGCTTTGTTCGTCTTGGTGAGAAGAAATCGAATCATCTTGCCACTCGTCTTATTGGAAGTGGTCACTACAAAATAAATGAAATTAATAATTTAAATGTTTATGCATTGGTTGCATGTAATTCATGTTTTTACGTAGACATTAACAGGACAAATTTTAATGTAACAAACCTCTTCGCCAGTTGGTCCGTGTATTCGAAAATTTAAATCAAAATGATTTTCAACCAAAGATTTGACTTTAGAAGAACTAAAGGCTCTTACTTTATCATTTAAAATGAGGTTTCGAGTTGTGACGCTGAAAATGAGTAATTAATAAAATTAAATGTTAGAAGAATTACTCACATGACTTTATATTCTTCTCAGCCGCTAATTGCAATTATTTTTAATTGTGATTAATCGACTAATTTATAAAATACCAGCTATTCCAAGTAGCTTTACTTGCCACACAAAGTAAGCGCATTTTTGAAGAACATAACATTTACTTAACCGTCCATTCGAAATATCGTAGCGCGATATGAGAAACCGATAAGTCGCAAGTATAATTTTACAGTTGGTATACTTACGTCGCCATACGATCAACAAAACGTAGCATAACTTAATAAAATGATACTAAAAACAAACTGTATATATTTGCTATAAGGAAACAAAACAGAAAGTATTGCACATAAACCGTATTTTTATTTTTGTACAGGACGTGTCATTAAAAATATATGTAAAGAGCATAGGTAGAGAAAACAATCACTTTCTGGTATGAAAAGTAGGTTTACATATTATTATAAATCCTCTTTTCTCAGTTTTACTTCATGCATTACAGGATCTTTTAAAGATTTTAACGGAAACTTTATCTTTTTTATCTACGGATATCTACAAGGCATTCACAGCTTTTACAGCGCGTCCTCAAGGATGCCAATCTGCTCGCGCAGCTGTTTCGCGAATGAGTACATATACATCGAAAATACTCGCATAAAATATTAAATTATTGTATGTTTTTATTCCTGTAGATGGACAGGAGCTCGTAAAGCATCTAGTTTAAGCGGTTGCCACTAAAGCCCATAAAAATCACAAAACAAGATTATATATAATTTTGTTCTACATCTAATTATTTCGGTTCGTTTTATTTAATTTTACTCTCAAAAGACGTGTCTAACTAGTCTGACTACATGTACGGACTATGTTCCCTTTGCTTTATAAGTGAACAAAACAAAGTCAAAGTCAAAGTGAAAAATAAAACAATCAATTGTGATTTTACTAAGCAATGAAGTGCTGTAATTAAATTTAAAAGCATTTTAATGTTATATTAATGTTATTTTCTTCTTAATGTTAAAGATTTTCAGCCCTTTACTCCATTGTGTATATAATATATGTCATTTGCTTATCGCACCAATAATTTTAATTAAAAAAAATGGATAAAAAGAGACGATATTCATCATCAAGTTCTGATAGCGCTGAAGATGACCGAATTCAAGATCTCAGAGAACGGGATGAATTCGCAAAAAGATTAAAGAAACGAGACGAAGAAAAAATAAGAAAAATAACAGAGGGGAAAAAATCATACGAAGAGGCTGCAAAAAAGTTAAAAATTGAAGCAGAAGACCGCGACAAGTTACTACCGAAACTTCGTGTACAGTCTCGTCGCAAATATTTAGAGAAAAGAAAAGACGACAAAGTTGTAGAATTAGAAGCTGATATTGCCGACGACGAGTATCTGTTTGATGAGAGAATGTAAGAACTGAAATATTTTTGCCAAAACTTAAGACGGCCAGAGAATTTTATGAAAAATCATACGTTTCAACTATAATATATAAAATATTATAAAATCAAATATTAGTTTAGTATTAGTATGTTACATTAGTATGTATATAGTATATCAGTATTAGTATGAGAGATTGGATTGCATTTCATCCCTAAATCATATCTTCAATAATAATATTTCTGCTGTAAGCTATGATAAGCTCTAATTTGTATAATGGCAAAGCCATTATCAAATACATTCAGATCTTGAATTTTAGTCCCAAGTCCGATTATGCCTTGCATTTCAGTACACACTCTGTTAATTATTTCACACCAGATGAAATTGAACAATAAAATTACAGCCAAACAAAATACTTAAATTTTAATTATAAATAACTTATTTTAAGATTATTATTATAAAGTGCATTTGGTTAAAACAAAATTAAAAGTTTAAAATGTGTCATATCATTTGTCTTTATAGCCTAACAAAAAGAGAAAAAGAAGAAAGGGAACACAAGAAAACTTTATTACAATTAGCTAAAGAACATGAAAAAGCAAGAGAGTTAGAAAATGTTCAAAGATATCATATGCCTCGGGACTTGGGGAAAGGGGAAAAAGGTAATTATCCAAAATTACAAAGAAACCTTTCAAATGAAGAACTAAACAAAGCTTCAAACCTTAAGAGAAATTTAATTATGTAAAATATTTAATTATGTATTTCAAATTATGAGATGAAAAAAACTTAGCTGACGTTAATAAAATGAAGGTTTAAATTATGGACAAAAAGTTTTTCAAGCTATGAACAAAATTTCTGAAATATTTTCATTTTATTAATGATGTAAGTTTGGTAAATCATATAGAGTTTAATTGTGAAGTTTCAAATATTCAATTTGGTCTTAAAATTCTATATTGTTTATTTCTCATCCAATACTTTCATTTTAAAATTTCAAAATTTACAAATCAACAAAACAAAAGAAAATAATTAAAAAATTGTAATCAGTAATAAATTATTTGCTTGTACATCTTGTATATAACCTACTAATTGTATATTACAGGTGAATATGTTGAAGTTGATGAAAATGAGAGGTTGCCACATTCTGAACAGCAAAAATGGGAACAAGAACAAATTAAATCTGCTTTCTTTAAATTTGGTGCAAAAGATGCTAAAGCTACAAATGAATATGATTTATTACTGGATGAACAAATTGATTTCATACAGGCTCTTAAAATGGAAGGTTCTGAAGACAAAAAGGAAAAGTCAGAAATATCAGAATATCAAAAAATTCGAATGACCATTGAAGAAACAAAAAAATCACTTCCAATATATGCGTTTAAACAATCACTTATTGAAGCCATACAAAATTATCAAATTCTAATTGTAGAAGGTGAGACAGGATCTGGCAAAACAACACAAATACCTCAATATCTCCATGAAGCTGGTTTCACTAAAGATGGGAAAAAAATTGGGTGTACACAACCTAGGAGAGTAGCTGCTATGTCAGTTGCTGCAAGAGTTGCACAAGAAATGAACGTAAAACTGGGAAATGAAGTTGGTTATAGTATAAGATTTGAAGATTGCACATCTGATAGAACAGTAATAAAGTACATGACAGATGGAACTCTTCATAGAGAGTTTCTATCAGAACCTGATCTAGCCTCATACAGTGTAATGATCATTGATGAAGCTCATGAACGTACCTTACATACAGATATATTATTTGGTCTTGTAAAAGATATAACCAGATTTAGACCTGATTTAAAATTGCTTATATCCAGCGCAACATTGGATGCTGAGAAATTTTCAACATTCTTTGAAGATGCCCCAATTTTTAGAATCCCGGGAAGGAGATTTCCTGTGGACATCTATTACACAAAGGCACCCGAAGCAGATTATGTAGATGCTTGTGTTGTATCAGTATTACAGATTCATGCCACACAACCTCTTGGTGATATATTGGTTTTTTTAACAGGACAAGAAGAGATTGAAACATGTGTTGAAATGTTACAAGAAAGGACGAAGCGTATAGGCAAAAAACTGCGCGAGCTTTTAATATTACCAGTATATGCCAATTTGCCTAGTGACATGCAAGCTAAAATCTTTGAACAAACTCCTGAAGGAGCTAGAAAAGTCGTTCTTGCTACAAATATAGCTGAAACTTCATTGACAATTGATAATATTATATACGTAATAGACCCAGGTTTTGCCAAACAAAACAACTTCAATTCCAAGACTGGCATGGAAAGTTTAATTGTTGTTCCCATTTCTAAAGCATCAGCAAATCAACGAGCTGGACGAGCCGGAAGGGTTGCTCCTGGAAAATGTTTTAGATTGTACACAGCCTGGGCATATAAATATGAATTAGAAGATAATACTGTACCAGAAATTCAGAGAATAAATTTAGGAAATGCAGTTCTCACTTTAAAAGCTTTAGGCATCAATGATCTAATACATTTTGATTTTTTGGATCCACCACCGCATGAAACATTAGTTTTGGCTTTAGAACAACTTTACGCTCTGGGTGCACTTAATCATCATGGAGAGTTAACAAAAGCAGGCAGAAGGATGGCTGAATTTCCTACCGACCCCATGCTCGCGAAAATGTTGTTAGCTAGTGAAAAGTAAGTAATGTAAACATAAGTCATTCTCTCATAACTAACCTTCATAATGAAGGATTAACTTCTTCTTTTTCTGCATCTTACTATCAGCCAACAGCTCAACACTCACTACTCTCTCTCTCTCTCTCATATCGTCATTCACACACTCCATCCGTCTTCTTCGGTCGACCTCTTCCCTCTCTACCTTGCACTACCAATTCCGTACATCTCCTAGTCACATGCATCTTCTCTCTACGCATCACACGTCCATACCACGCTAACTGTCTGCTTTTTAATTTGTTAATTACCGGGGTTACTTTCATACTTCCTCTGATATACTTATTCCTCATCTTATCCATTCTTGTCACTCCACACATCTATCTCAACATTCGCATCTGGAATGAAGGATTTACATTGTGTAATAACCTGGTAAATTTTATAAATTTGTATAATGACTAGTGATAGAGCTGTTGTGGAGATATCGATAATTTTATTATAACTAATGTACAACACAATCAAATCAACAAAACTTTTATTCCACACTTTATACTACAGACTTACAGACTGTGGGTGAAGAAGTAGTTAGTAGCTGTCTCTACCCGATGATATGTAGGCGAAGTAAAATGTCCCTTAGAAATAAAGGTGACACTCTACAAAACTTGCATACGCCCCGTCATGACCTATGCAAGTGTAGTGTTCGCTCACGCGGCCCGCACTCACTTAAAGACATTCCAAATCATTCAATCCCGTTTTTGCAGGATAGCCGTCGGAGCCCCGTGGTTCGTCAGGAACGTCGACCTCCATGACGACCTGGACTTAGAGTCCACCAGTAAGTATATGCAGTCGGCGTCAATGCGCCACTTCGATAAAGCGGCACGACACGAGAACCCTCTCATCGTGGCCGCCGGTAACTACATTCCCGATCCTGCGGACAGAATGGAAAGCAGTCGACGTCGCCCAAAACACGTCATCTCGGATCCTCCCGATCCACTAACGGTGCTTCTAGGTACTTCAAGCACCGGTCACCGTTCTCGTCGAACCCGTCGCTTGCGACGAAGAGCTCGACGAGTAAATTAACTCCCAGACACAGCCCACTGAGTTTCTCGCCGGATCTTCTCAGTGGGTCGCGTTTCCGATCCGGTGGTAGATTCTGCGAAGCACGGCTCTTGCTAGGGTTCATGTTAGCAACGTCATCAGGTTTGAGCCCCGTGAGCTCACCTACAAAAGTTAGGGTTACGCTGATATAGCCTCTCAAGGCTCTCAGCTTAGGTAGGGAAAAAAAAAAAAAAAAAAGTAGCTGATAAATGCGAACGCGTCCACGCATACCCTCTAATTAAAAGCCGTTCAGATTGTCTCAAAATCACATTAATTCTCACATTTTTCTTGTTATACAGATATAAATGTTCTGAAGAGGTTGTCACAATTGCGGCAATGCTATCAGTAAATAGTTCCGTCTTCTACCGGCCTAAAGATAAAATAATCCATGCAGATACAGCAAGAAAAAATTTCTTTCATCACAAAGGAGATCATCTGACAATTATGAACTTATACAATCAGTGGGTTGCTTCAGATTATTCGGTGCAGTGGTGCTATGAAAACTTCGTGCAGTATAGATCGATGAAACGAGCTCGAGATGTTCGTGAACAATTAGTCAGCCTGATGGAAAGGGTAGAAATTGAAATGGTTACAAGTTTATCTGATGATACTAATATAAGAAAGGCCATAACGTCTGGTTATTTCTATCATATAGCAAAATTTTCAAAAGGTGGTCATTATAAAACTGTAAAACATAATCAGGTAACGAAACTTAAAATCTTGATAGTTAAAATTATTTTGTTTTTTTCTTTTTCTTATAAATCTATCCAAATATATTTATTGCTTTCAGACAGTTATGATACATCCTAATAGTGCTCTATTTGAAGACCTTCCACGATGGGTGATTTACCATGAGCTTGTATTTACATCTAAAGAATTTATGAGACAAGTCACCGAAATTGAGAGCAAATGGCTACTGGAGGTAGCGCCTCATTATTACAAATCAAAGGAATTAGAAGATTCAACAAATAAGAAAATGCCCAAAACATTGGGGAAATCTGCAAAAAATTAGTAAAAATTTGATTACAGTAGATTCAATAAAAGTTTCCACTTTCTCCGTTTATTGTTGATCCTGTTCTTCGGTTTTCATAACACGACATTCCACTTTTTTTACACTTCCTTGTGATTTAAATGTAGAACCAATGTTGGTAATTCTTTATGATAAAATCATCTATAATTTGTTAAAATTTAAAATGATGTCGCAGATATTTCAAGACACGTTTGTTTTATTGGCAAATGTGCTCACGGTTCATCTATACCGAAGTCTAGACAAAACACATCATGAACGCCGGCACCTCCCTGGAAACTTTGTCTATTTCTCAATTTTAGTCATTACGAAAATCATAAATATTTGCGGGTTTGATTTTTACGGTGTTACCTATTTCTTTTATCGTGGACATGAGATTAGTAAGTCAGTAGAAAAATTGTTACCTGCGGATTTTTAACACCGGCAGTCGCATCGCTCAATAAGAGTTCATAGTTTTATCGATTAATATTTTATCGATTTTTGCACCTTGCTGAAAGGACATGTTGCGCCCCTCAAGAAACAGGCATGAAGAGTTTTTGCCAGAGCCAAATATGGTACGCGGCAAATAATACTCTGGAAATGTACCGTGTAGTAGATGAACGCAACGTTAGATACCGAATAGTAATGAGGGATTAAAGGTAACGGAATGATCTCAAACAATTTCTTAAAGCACTCTCATGGAATAAAACCCCACAAAACAGCGAGAAGGAACTAAAATCCTTTGAGATGAACTTGTCCTGGGGTTGGTTTTTCAAAGAAAATTTAAGGAAGTCAGCAGATTGACTGTAGCCACTGATGACCAATTACCATCAGGTAAACTGTATATTCGTTTACACTTACAATACAAAGAAAAAACCCCTTGTAGAAGTAGTGGTTATATCATACCATATCCACCATAAGGATTGAAGTGTAGTAGTGTATACCAGAAATATTATATTATTATAATTTTTTTAAATATCACTGTATGCAGTGAAAACTATGTGGTGGGTCCATTAACATTTTCATTCATTCATTTCACATTTTTCATAAATTTCAATTTTATTTATTTTACACTTTTTAATTACTTTAAACAAGTAAAATGAACTAAGAAAAATATTTTAGAAATGCAGGACAATAATTATTTGGAGAGACAATTATATTGAAACAATATTTATTGTATTCCCTGTAGTGTTAAAAGACAAAAAATGAAATATCCATAGTACTTACAATATTTATTCAATTTACATAACTACATAGAATAGAACTGTAATAATTCTTCATCTTTTGGCTTTAAAATGCATTCATCTTTCAAATTAATTACCCACCCTGGCTGTAATCCAAAAAATATTTGTCTAGGATCCTTTCTATCTGTTAACATATCATATTGTGGGTCACTTTCTAAATTTGGAAGTGTATATCCATATTTCTGAGACAATTTTAATCTTTCTTGAGATATTTTTTCTGGATCAGCTAAATAACCACGTGTTGCAGCACTAGTGTAAAATTCAATGGCATCGGGCGGAGGAATCATTCTTCTTGGAATAGCTTGACCAGTTTCAAAAAACCTTTGAGGATTTTTCAATATAAATAAACTGTGAGGATCATAGTAGGCTGTAGTAATAACACCACCATTTTTCTCAATCGCTGCAATAACTTGTTCACTTGCCCACTGTACTTCTATATTAATTTTTGCAGCAAAAATGTCAGCTCCATCATCAGTTAAATTAACACCAAAATGCTTTTGGTCAGGATTCAATGTGTATAACCCAGATTTTATCAAGCTGGCAATATCAATGGGTTTAGATATGTCTACTCGGTTTCTATCGATCAATTTTTGTAACTCCAAAAGTGTCATAGGAGGATACTCTCTTTTCAAACTGAAATATTAAGTTTTGTTTAAAACCTAAGAAATACTTTGGAGCTAATAATAATAAACCTAAGAGATAATGCAAATCCATTAAATTGTTAGTAAAATGGTGCATTGCATTTATGGTTGCCTGAGGTAAAATAGTAAATAACTCCTTAACACCAAATAGAGCAAGAGCTTATCAGTCTAAAAAAAAAAATCAATAATTTGGTACCAAAAGTTACTATAATAAGTATAATACAGGCTTTGTCTATAAAAGTAAAAGTTGAGCACCAAAGATTTCAGTTTCTTTTGCAGATGGGAACCATGCAACTGGCACCCACAGACAACCTGACAAAACTGAGTTTCAGGCTGGATCTTCTCATTGGGTTGTGATTCTGATCAAGTGATAGATTCAACAAAGGACTACTCTTGCTATGTCGGATGTTAGCAGATTCATTCAGTTTGAGCCTCGTGAGCTCACCCACCAGTCAAGGTGAGGCTAGTGGCAAATGTGAAAAAAAAAAGCAAACGAGAAAATGGACAATATACTGTACTAGCGACTCGCTTCGCTTCGGAAAAATTAAAACACACATGAAACCAAAAAAACTAAATAAAAAAAAAATTTAAAAAAGTAGCCTATGTTCATCAGGGACAATGTCGGCTTCTAATGGAAAAAGAATTTTTCAAATCAGTCCAGTAGTTTCGGAGCCTATTCGAAACAAACAAACAAACAAATCTTTCCTCTTTATAATATTATTATAGACTATGCGATTATTCAGACTTCAGATAATTGTAAATATTTTTAATGAAATTATTTTCTAATCACATTAAATTGTTGTATTAGATAAATTGACCAATTAATACCTAACATCAATAACATGTTCATATTATTTTTCTATTGTACTGCACTTTTGCTGCATACTTATACATCTGCTATGAATGGCATAATAATCCAGTATTACTTACTGGTGTCCTCTATAGTAATTCTCATGAGGAATACGAAGATAAAATGGGTTGTTTCCAGTTTCATAACCTAGTCTCATATAATTTTGACGTTGTCCAGAACCTTTATTGCCTGCACCATGTTTGTCACCCCCGTGTTGACCCCTTCCTCTTTTTTGCTAAAATAACACGGTAGGGCATAGTGTAAATACAAGTTTATATAAATTTTGTCTCATACTGCACTAAAGTAATTATGTGTTCTATAATATTACAGATGAAGCTGCTGTTTCTAATTATTAGTGTAAATATACACTTGTGCTGTCCATGGATTTCAACTACCAATCAATACCAGACCCTAATTATTATGTTTTGTAATAACATGTACCATTAGATGATTAATAATGTTATCAGCGACAGTATAAACAGTGAAGAGTTGAAACAGCTTACAATACTTTATACGAGAATTTTTTTTCTTGGAAATAATTAAATTAAAACGTTAAACCTTATTAGTTTTAATTACGTCTACGACACAAAAACAAAATATGATTTTGACTGGATGATGTTCTTACTTACTGTTATTTTAGACCCCGGATTATCACGAATATTTGCTAGCGTGATTCTTGGTAACGACCTCAACATAGACAGTGATTTCTCTGTTATTTGCCGCGAACCCATGCTGAGGAATTTTAATATGAACGTAGAGATGAAGAGATTACAGGAGAGCTAACATTCTTTTACTTTATATAAAAAGTGAATTGTAACAAATTATATAAAGCAATGTATTAATATTAGTATTTAACTAATGGATGTATTTGTAGATTTCAGTAGGTACCTACATAGATTATACACTTAATATATTTCTGTCTATGGAGTCTAGTATATAATCTATGGTCATTGGTCAATCATTTTTTTAACAAAATGTTTTTTATTTATTTATAGATTATTTTCTACTTTTTGTTAACTACAAAGGCTTTTAGATATTATTACATATTTCTAATAAAATCTTAACAAAAAAAAATACCTTCCTTTATACGCCATTGGTAAAGGTTTGTTTTTCCTACCTATTCACTGGTAGTCTAAAGCTATTCCAGCTAGGCACGACAAATAGGTGATCTTACGAGCTCAATCTTTAACACTCGCCCTAGCAAGAGCAGTATTTCGCAGAATCTACCACCGGATCGGAAACGCAACAAACGGCCGGTTTGACGAGAACGGTGTCCGGTGCGTGTGGTACTTAAAAGCACCGATAGTGGATTGGGTGGATCCAAAATGAGATGTTTTGGGTGACATCGACTGGTTAGTTACTATTCGGTCCGCCAGATCGGGTATGTACGATGGACGATGACCGTTGCCTGAAGAGCCTAAAAACAAACAAGAGTAGTTCCACGGGATCCGATAAGACATGCTTTAGGCGACGGCGGCTTACCGTTGCCCCGTCGCCTGGGTCGGGTAATTAGTGGTGGCCACGACAAGAGTATATCGTGTCCGTAGCGTCAGAAAAATACTTCGACAAAGCGAATCCAATCCAATTCCATATCAGATCTAAATTGATATCGTCGTGAAAGTCGATATTCCTCGCGTACCACGGTACTCCGACGGCTACCCTGCAGAAACGGGATTGGATGACCTGGAGAATTTATATGCATGCGGGCCGCGTACACTTGCAAAGGTCATGAACGTATGCAAGCTTTGTAGAGTGTCACTTTGTCACGAAAAGACAATTTACTTCGCTTTCACAGATATTACATTAAATAACAATCACTTTCCAAAAAAATGACAATACCACAATAAAATTTACTTTTTTATTACTTAGATGAGTGGACTACTTCACGACCCGCTTCTTAAGTGCCGCCACCCACCTTGAGAAATGACGTGTTCCCTCCTGGCTGAGCCTTTGCTCGCCCACATATCCAGTAATCATTCAATCATAAAATAAAAAAATAAAAACATGACGTGTTCTTAATATTATTTTAAATTACTTTTACAGTTAAATCTCGTTAATATTTGCAACAATTGGAATACTATTAGCTGGTTGTGTAAATAGTAAAGGTGAGATATAACCGTAAAAGTAGTATCAATTATGTTTACGAAATACAAATCAGGAAAACGAGAAAATACTATAAATATTGTTCCAGTGCTTACACGATTAAAATTATAGCATTTTTTTCCTACCTAAGCTGGTAGCCTTGAGAGGCTATTCCAGCGTAACCTTAACTAGTAAAAGCACCGTTAGTGGATCGGGACGATCCGAGATGACGTTTTGGGAGACGTCGACTGCTTTCCATTCTTTCCGCAGGATCGGGAATGTATAGCATTAGAGATTTTTTCTGAACTTTGTATAATATACAAAATTTACTTGAAAATGTTGTTAGCTAGATTCAGGAAATTGTTTTACACACATATATATATATTGCACACATTTATGGATTTGAATAAAATTACAAAAATCTTTTCGTTAACTTTTTATTTAGTTAACTATAAATTGAGTTTTACCCCAAAATATTTAAGAATACCTCTAACTTATATTATTTCTGTATCCAATTACATATATTTAACTATTCTTATGTACATAACTCTTATTTCAACAATTTGTTGACTTCATCTGGAGTTCTCTTTACAATAGACAAATGATCTGTGTAACCATTATTAGGGTCATGAATAGCTTTATATAATTGTTCATAAATAGCTAGTATTACTTCAAAAGCTCTCTTCTTCACACCCAATTTATGAGAGTGACTTAAAAGCAAATTGAGCTGCGGTAAAATATAAGAATCTGGTCCTAATAAAAATGTATCAAATTTGTTTAAGAATGTTTTTAGAGTTGACGTATCCATCCCTGGAATGGCTGAGAGTGGCCCACTAATCTTTTCTTGTAATATTGTGTAAATCGGGCCCAGATTTAAATTTGCAACTAAATAACTAGCTTGCTCTGATGTCAATGTATCAATCTGGGCTTCTGATTGTGCCTGTAGTCTCTCATTATATTCATCCATTAATGTATATAAGGATAAAGTGCACTGTATGTGATAAATACAATTCAACATATAAACAGACATATCCGTAGGACTCAGATGACAAGCAGTTTCATTGACTGATTGTAGTAATGGATCTAAAATGTGAGTAACAATCATTTTCCTCTCAGATATATTGAAGTTGTTAGAGCTGTTCATAATAGTCAAAAGATCTCTCAGGAAACTGACCAAGTCAGTTACTACTATCGATGGATTTAAATCCACTGGTGGTGCTTTCACTCCATGGCTCAATTCTTTTTGTATTTTGCTGTCTAATGTCATAAGAAATACATCTTCACTCTTTTTTAGTAGCTCATCCAGAGTGTTTATTAAATGTCCTTTAGGTATGATAGCTTGAATTACTTCTTTGTAATAAATTATTTGATGTGTAATTGACCATAACACTAATGGATCTTTATCAGGTTTTAATATAAGTTCAGCCCTAATTTTTAATAAGGGGCATATAGCTTCCATTATGCTAATCAAAGCTTCAATAATGTATTGTTTTTTATCAGACATATTACAGTGTTTATATAAAATTTGCAAATTTTCTTTTTCTATTGGAATAATTTGATACACCCAAGCTAAAATATCACCAATATATCTCTTAGGATCATTAGCGTAAAATTCAATTGGTTTTGGAACAGTTTCCGTTTCTTTAGTTAGGGCATCAATAAATAATTGAACTATTGTAGCTTTTCTAGCTGAACAATATTCATCAATTATATTACTAAAAAGAACTTGCCTATTTTGAAATTTAGCTAAAGCCAAGGGGATAAGAGCATTATTAGGGGAATCTGTGCTGAGGCAAGCTCCAATTGTCCAATGATAAAGCTTTTCTATCGCAACCTCTTGTTGCAAGCCCACTATTTCCATTATATCAAATGCTGAAGTTTCATACCAACATCTGACTAGTACTTTACAATTTTCATACAATTTTTCAATTAGTGATAGAGTTTTAAAGAAATCCAAGGTAAGTGGTGTTTTTATCGACACATTACAAAGGTAATCAATTTTATCTGGACTAAGTTGAAAACTGTTCACATACGCTTTCACCCAAACTAGTTTCTTTTCTGTTTTTTTTCTTTCATCCTTTAAATTAGTGGTCTGGGTAATCAAGTGGTGTGTTTTTGTTTTAGAATCATTTAATCTTTTCGACATGTCATTGACTGCTGAATTGAGTGAGTCCAGAGAATCAAGTAAGGACTGAAATTTATCTTTGACTTTTCTATACTCTGCTAATACGGCTTTATTCACAAGTGTGTCTCTTTTCTCTATTTCGTTCACAAGTACTCTTCGCGTGTATGCAGAGTTAGAGGAGCATAATCCTGATACAGAATGCAAAGCATCTGTACTATCTGAAGCTATGTGGTTGTCAAATATTTTATTGATTCTTTGTCTGATGGGATTTGCCGTATATGTCTCCATTGTTTAAGTTTTAATTACTGAAAATTTTACAAATTAATACACACAATGTTTATGAACATTCTAAATAGTACACCTATTAAATTTGTGATTTCTTAAATACACTTGTGTTTAGTAATCACTACGTTTTTAAGCTTGTGTCAGCTGTGTGCGTCAGTGTAGGTTTTTTTTTAATTAATTTTACTGGCTTGGAAGCAAAGTGCTTTAAGCTAAATCAGTACTATTTACAGAACACTATTATAGGTCTACCAGGATCTGATGTCCAAAAGGGAAAAAAGAAATTGACGCTAGCAATATGAGGGAAATTGGAGTAAAGCGTTTTGATAATTTTTTTTCTTATAGCGGCTGATTCTGTGTGATACATGCAAATGTAAAAATTTATGCAATGATCAAGGATAATTTTTGAAAATCTTACTGTGGCGAATGTGCGGTTCGAAATTTAGATGAAAACTCCAATTACTCTCTGTTCATGAATTTATTAATTAATTATAGGCTATCAGAACTTGAAAATGGTTCCAAATACTGCACATCAGTGACCGACAGTACGGTTTCCGTCACGGTCGCTCAGCTGGCGATCTTCTTGTATACCTTACTCACAGGTGGGCTGAAGCCTTGGAGAGCAAGGGCGAGGCTCTCGCTGTGAGCCTTGATATCGCGAAGGCCTTCGACAGGGTCTGGCATAGGGCACTTCTGTCGAAGCTACCAGCTTATGGAATCCCCGAGGGGCTCTGTGAGTGCGTGTGGTGCTAGAGAGACGATCAAAACTTGTGTCTGAAGTAGAGAGCTCCCTGGCGCGAGCCTCTGAGTGAGGTGAATTGAATTTGGTACAATTCAACCCGTTGAAGACACAGGTTTGCGCGTTCACTGCGAAGAAGGACCCCTTTGTCATGGCGCCGCAATTCCAAGGAGTATCCCTACAACCTTCCAAGAGTATTGGGATACTTGGGGTCGACATTTCGAGCGATGTCCAGTTTCGGAGTCATTTGGAAGGCAAAGCCAAGTTGGCGTCCAAAATGCTGGGAGTCCTCAACAGAGCGAAGCGGTACTTCACGCCTGGACAAAGATTTTTGCTTTATAAAGCACAAGTCCGGCCTCGTTTGGAGTACTGCTCCCATCTGTGGGCCGGGGCTCCCAAATACCAGCTTCTTCCATTTGACTCCATACAGAAGAGGGCCGTTCGGATTGTCAATAATCCCATTCTCACGGATCGTTTGGAACCTCTGGGTCTGCGGAGGGACTTCGGTTCCCTCTGTATTCTGTACCGTATGTTCCATGGGGAGTGCTCTGAGGAATTGTTCGAGATGATACCGACATCTCGTTTTTACCATCGCACCGCCCGCCACCGGAGCAGAGTTCATCCATACTAACTGGAGTCACTACGTTCATCCACAGTGCGTTTCCAGAGATCTTTTTTGCCACGTACCATCCGGCTATGGAATGAGCTCCCCTCCACGGTGTTTCCCGAGCACTATGACATGTCCTTCTTCAAACGAGGCTTGTGGAGAGTATTAAACGGCAGGCAGCGGCTTGGCTCTGTCCCTGGCATTGCTGATGTCCATGAGCGACGGTAACCACTCACCATCAGGTGGGCCATATGCTCGTCTGCCTATAAGGCAAAATAAAAAAAAAAAAATTTTTTTGTGGACTCTTTAGAGGACCCCGAGAAATTACGTCCAGCGGCTTTGTTTCATTTTCCCCCATTTGTGCACTTTCACAGATATTAAACAGTTAATAAACCACCATTATTACACATTTCATCATCATCATCATCTCAGCCTGTCTACTGTCCACTGCTGAATACTGCTGCCTCTCCAACTGATGTCTAGTGCGGCCGGTCCGTTGCCACCTGCATCCAAAGTGACCCAGCAATTTGCACTAGGTCGTCGGTCCATCTGGTAGGTGGCCGTCCCACACTGCATTTGCCAGTACACATTTAAACCTGAAGAAACACTAAATACACAAAATAAAACAAATCACACATCTTCACTCCTCGCGTTCCCGCCAAAAAGCCATCACTTTTTCTGTAGGTCACTAACCATAGATTATATACTTAATATTTGTCACTAACATTAGCTATGATTTGTGTTTTTTGGGTGCGACCCATGGAGTTAATAGTTATAAGTAGCTACGACTGGAGTGCTGTCAAATACAGAGAAACGGTCTCTCGAGAGAAAACATGTTGATCGCAGTGTCCTTGTCTAATGTGGTGACCATATAAAATTTATTTATAAGACAAAATTATACAAATGTACATCAATTTTGAATTTTACCTCAAGTATATCTGTGAAGCCCCCTGTAAATACAGCACACGTGCTTGCGACAGTTAATTCAATTCCAAACATTGCTTTGTCTAACACTTTCGTAGTTAAAACTGTTTTTTCGGGAATTACTTCGTGGTCGAACATCTAGCACTGAATTTTGTTACAAACGTCATTACCTCAGTTCTATTACTTAAACTTCCTTAAACTCATGTCTAACGTCCGAATACTCAAACGTAACTTAAATATTATGTTGCACTTAACTACGCAAATCCCACTTAAATGTACTGGCTAAGTGGGCCGTCCACAGTTAAAAGCAAATTACTATTTGAATAGCGTTTGCGTATTCGGCTGTGAGACACTGCAATACACATCGTCTGCGCGTATCGGGTGCTCATTTGCTACGTTCACTTGTTCAATTGATTTAAAATTGGTTGTATTATGACTAGTTCCTCCTCCTTGCGTCGGTTTCCTCATTACTGAGGGTCGTGGTCATGGCCTTGAAACAGTTTAAATGTTTTTCTGTACATGACTCTCTTGGGATGTAATTGTGGTGGGTTCCCACGTCCTTCCACATCAGTATTTTGAAGGGATTTAGTCCTTCACGGCAAACTGGTCCCGCTCCGGGTCTCTGGTTGTATCTGGGGGCTGGGTTATTTCCCGCCGCCCAGTGCTCGGCGTTGACGTTTTACGGTAGGAATGTCCAGCTCTACTCAACCCTCCTCTTTTCTCATCCGGGCTTGGGACCGGCAATGGCAGAGTTAGATATATATTTTGCCGATCAACGATGCTGCATTTCTCGGGGAACAGATATACATAAATCTATTCATTAAATACAAGATTGCTGTCCATGAGTTAATTCGCTCGTCGAACCCGTTGCTTGGGACGAAGGGCTCGACGAGCAAATTAACGCACAGACACCGCCCACTGAGTTTCTCGCCGGATCTCCTCAGTGGGTCGCGTTTCCGATCCGGTGGTAGATTCTGCGAAGCACTGGTCTTGCTAGGGTCAGTGTTAGCATCACTTCGGCTTGAGCCCCGTGAGCTCACCTGCTATAGTAGAATTATTTTGTCCGTGCAGTTTGGGTCATAAAACATAGCCCGGCTAGGGCAGTGAGCATGTAGCGCGGGCGCAACGCCATTATCGATAAAAATAAATGAGTCATCGAAGGCAGGTACACAGCGGCGGGGTGGTATACGAAGAGTGGTGAGACATTGTTATGTTAAGAGTAATTTATACTTACCTGCAAATTATAGTACATTATGTCGAAGAGAAATGTGTTTTTATGCATTCGTTCTCTGAATTTCTTTAGTGACACAATGGCTACTCCTTTATTTTGTATCAAAACGGCAGAATTTATTCAAAATAATATTTGCACGTGTTGTTATCAAAAATGTGTTAAAATTTTTCACTGAAATAAGAATAGATCCCGAAAAGTTACAAAGTGTTAATTTCTGCCGTTCTCGTTAACTTGCTGCGGCGATATGTGGTGTAAGTGTTCGATTAGTGATTTTTTCTTTCATTTTTATCACTAACCCACAAAATGACAAAACTAAATATTTGAATATGCCCGTCCATAAGGCTCGTGAGTGGAAGAGAGAGCGAAATACTCGCTTCACCGCTCCGATTTTTTATGACCCAAACTGCACGGACAAAATAATTCTACTTTAATTAAGGTTACGCTGAAATAGCCTCTGAAGGCTATCAGCTTAGGTAGGAAAAAAAATCAAGCGGTGCAGTTGAACGTCTTTGCACCACGAGTAAAGACATTTTAACACCAAAACGAGCCTCGCTTTCCAACGAGAACATGTTAATGTTCATGAAGGAGAATATGCATCTTATGCCCGACGATTATTACTCATTTGAATTATACAAGTATTTTGTTTTGTTCTTAGTCTGTTCGCTTCCAGAACCTAAGCCAACAATTTTTATAAGTTCATTGACGCAGCGATATAAAGGTGCAATTTTACATATATTAACGGATTAACGATTAACATTAACTTGCGTTAATTCGTCCGTAATGTAACGCTTTAACGTTTAAGGAAGTTAACTTCTTTTGTATCAGATTAATGATTAACGAAGTTAACTATTTGATTAATGGTGCCCGGTTATAAAAATGAAATGAACTAAAATTCGTTTATTTGTAATATGTAGACAATTATTATAAATAACTTTTAAATGACAAGTCAATACACATAACACAAAACACATAGTACTTGATCAAAATATTGGTTTTATTATTTTTATTAGGTTTAGTTGTTTTTCGGTAGTCTTGTAGTATAATATTTCTTCTATTTTATGGTAAATTCTGTTTTTTCAACGAAATACACAATTTGTTTTAATCAATATCGAAGTGGACCATGTGTATCATTAAAATTTTGCATTTTTCTTCAATAAATTTAAAATCGACCTTAAATTTCCAATCTTTATTTCGCGCCTTTTAAGTTTTTGTTTCAAAACCTTAACATCTCGTCGTAATTTTGCTTTTCTTGGGGTATTTTTTAATTCTTGCATCTGAGTACTTGTTTCCTCTTGTTTGACCTTTCTAGAGGACAGTTCTCCAGAAATTCCAACATCATATTTACTAGAAGATCCTCCTCGTTCGCAAGAAGTTCCTGCTTGTGTGATATCGCTGGAAGTTGATGGCTGTATAGAAGATTCTAGTTCCATGTTTTGAATACTTAAAACTGTAGTTTTCTTACTTCCTTGAAATATCTGAAACATAAAAGGCTTGATATGTAACGCTATTACATAGTTTTTTTTGAATTTTTGATAGGATTGAAATCTTTTGCAACTTTACAGGTGCTCAAATTACAAATAATTGAATGAAATTCATAAGATTGGTTATTAATTAAATTCATTACACCATGTACATACCATTCACAGTACACAT